GCGGCGAGGAAGTGGGGGCGAGTTTAGTCCGGCGACGGAGGGACATGAGGGCCAAAAGAAGTGACGCCCTCTGACTGATTGAGGTCAAACATTTTGTAATTCTAATGACATTTTTTTTTATGTCAAATATTTTTTTGTCTAAAACTTTTTTTATATATATATTCATAAGACTCATTTTTTCCTCACAAAGAGAAAAAGTTATTTTTAAAAAGTAAGCTTTTATTTGCGCAGATAAAAAAAAACGGTCTTTATGTTGTGGTATTTAGACCCAAACCAGGATCTTTATGTTCTCAGCAATGAAAACTCTACAGCGGAATCAAAACCAAAAGTTTGTGAATCGTAACGAAAGATTTCTGACATGGAGAGGGAAAAAAAAGGCAGACTTTGTGTTTATAAAAAGAAAAGTAGACATAGAAAAGGAGCATAGAAGCAGTGATCTATAAATGCTTTCTATTTTAGGAAAGATAGCAATAAACGAGCTCCACAGGTGGCTCTGTCTGGGAAAGAAACGCTTAAACAGGTTAAACAAACGGGTGATTGAGCAAGAAAATGATGTTGAACATCAAATGCAATACCAGAACCGGGTTAATAAGACCATCTGATCCATTTTAGCATGCCCCAAACACCTAAATCAGGGGTGAGCAATTCCAGTTCCTGAGGGCCGGTATCCTGCAACTTTTAAATCCATCACTGGTCCAACACACCTGAATCAAATGGCTGTGTTACCTCCTCAGCATGCAGTTAGTTCCTCCAGAGTCCTCTCAATCATCTAGTTACTTGATTCAGGTGTGTCCAACCAAAGGCACATCTAAAAGTTGCAGGATACCGGCCCTCAGGAACTGGAATTGCCCACCCCTGACCTAAATGAATAATTTTTTTTCAGCTTTTTATTGGATCTCTATTTTTCTGTCAGTTTTTTTTTTATTCTGCTCATTTTTGGATGTAATAAACTCATTTAATGCCTCATCAGTTCATCACAGAGAGGTTGCCGTGCTAAACTGGTTCCAGAGCATCAGATTGACATGTGCGACTCCGTCAAAGACTACGTTCACACTGCAGGCCTTGATGCTCAATTCAGATTTTTGTGAAAAACACGTTTTTTTTACGTTGCCGTTCATATTTCCAAATATATGCGACTTGTATGTGATCTCCTGTGTGAACTGAAGCCATAAAACGCAAGTGTCCCGCATGCGAAGTAGTGGACGCGATGGCGTCACAGAACAGCGTGCTATTTTTTTCCGGAAGTAAACATGGATGAAAGTGCCGGAGCGCAGCTAGCGGTCTTTTCCAACCATAAAAAACTCGATCTTTTCAATACGTTTGAACATAAATACTGCTCTCCACATTATCGTCTGCCATGGTTATTGTTTTCCAAGACGCAGAATAGTGACCTTTGTCGGGTATTAATGACGGTCAGGTCGGATTCACACACCGGTCGCATTTGAAAAGATCCGATTCGTATCGGATTCAGGACCACATAGCCAAGTGGTCTGGGTCGGATTGGAAAAAATCGGATCTGTGTTGTTCAGACGGCCATGAAAAGATCAGATCCAGGTCGCATACGGGCAAAAAAAATCGGATTTGATCACTTCAGGCTACAGTGTAAACGTAGCCAAACTGGTTTCACCCAGGTTCCAACCTTCAGCAGAACCAGTTCGGTCAGGAGCTGGAGGCGGGCTCAGAAGATCAACAGCCAATCAGAATGCCACACCTCTTTTACTTTGTTTTCTATCGTAGCATAAAGTTTCTGTTTGGATAAAATCAAGGAGTTTCAGCGCTGATAAGGAAGAACATGAGCTCCCAGTTTCTGATCTAAACAATCAAAACAAGTCAAATAAAGAGGAAATGACTGCGGAACTCCATACAGGTGACTTCCTTTAAAACATTTATCCTCTAACATCATCAAAAGAGTTTCAACAAATTATACACAACAACTTGTAACCATGGAAATAACATTATTCTACTATAATTATTCCAGCAGTGTTTTGGTGCTGAAAGCTCCACTGATTTAACTCCAGCAGCCGGCCAATCAGAATCTTTGTTTGTTTTTAATGCAACTAAAGTAACTAAAGACAAACCGGGCTTTAAGCTAGCAATGCGTATGGGCGCACGCTTTTTAAAAATGACCTAGAAACCTAGAAACTTTGCTCAAATGTTCAAAATTTCCCAAGCAGCAGATGCTGAATTAGAGAAGACCATCTCAGTGGAGGAAAGCGCAAGCTATTTAGGTCAACTCCATTGTTGAATCTGGGTCCTTTTTCTCCAGAGAGAAATGTGTGCTATAATTAGAAACTTAAGTAAGAGTTCAGACTGTGAGAAGCAGCAGTTTCCAGAAACAAACCTAAAACCTGCTATGGTTTTAGGTTCAACACTCACTGCTTTCTGCAGCCCTCTTGATTCCAGATTCGTCCTCCGGAGCGTCGGGGCTCAGACCCATGAGGTCAAACCTGCACACGTACAAAGGCTGGAGTCAAAACCACAACAACAGCTCACTGACACAATCGTACTATTGTAAAGGGCGACACGGGGGCCTTTTGTGTTTCTCAGGGAATCAAAGGCAGCCGGTGATGAGCCGAGAGGCAGCATCCCCATCAGGGAAACTCACCACGCCGGCATCATGGACTTCATGTTGAGAGTGACGGGGATTCTGGGCCTGCAGGAGGGGAATTAAAGGGGAATTAAAGCAGGTCTGGACCTTAGCTTTAGGGGAGGTAGGGTCTATGGCAGCAGACTTACGCATGAGGGCAGATAAACTTGACGTGAGGCAGCCGGATCCCCGTCAGCGTCTCGGCCCAGCCGTGCCTGAAGGAAAACGGGGAGGAGCTGTTAGTTTCTCAGCCAGAAATAAACATAAATCAACCTAATAAAAAACTTAGAGGATAAGAAATATCTTTTAATTTTACATTTAGACCAAGGTTCGGCTGATTCTAGTGATTACTAAATGTTTCAGGCAGTTTCAGTCAAAATAATCCTAAAAGCGTCTGTTTTAACAGACATTAAGCAAATGGATTGGAGGTAAACATTAAATGCTTTCTAATATCCAATTCAGTTTGCTTTTCTATAAAGACATAAATTCATGCTTATTTTATTAAAAAATAAACCAAGAAGCAACAAGAAGTGAAACCCTGTTTCTTCTACTCTTAAAGTGTTGTACATGCGCCTGCAATTTAAAAATAAAACACATTAAAATGCTGGGAAAATCAGAAAAAAGTAACAGGAAATGAAAGACGGTTCTAATATGGTGCAGATGTCTAAAAACGTTTAAATCCGCTGAGTTTATCTCAGGTTTTAGAAGCGTTCAGGGACATTTCTCTTCTAATAATCCTCCTCTCTGAGGTCATTGCTTATGTCTCCCCATCCAGGAATCCTGCTTTCATAAAGGGAATCACATCACCAATGATCAATGCCTCATTTATACAGAGGCAGCACTGGAAAAACCTTAATTTGAGCAGGTAAATTAGTATTTTTGCTCTCAAACTAAGATTATTAGATAATATGCACTTTAAAATAAGATAATGTAATTGTTTTTTCTTATTTTAAGTGTAAATTGTCTTGTTCCATTGGTTAAATGTCGGTTTCACCTCCTCAATCCTAGAAAAAAGGAACTTATTTTAAGAATAAATGACTTTTCTAGATTTTGATTTTTTCCTGTGAGCAGAGATCTACCAGGTTCTGAACTCATAACATCCTATATGATACATAGGAAAAAGAGGGGTTATCCGTTTTCTTTTCCTTGCAGTTATGCTTCTACATATGTTTTTTTGTTTGTTTTTTGTTAATAAAATAACTAATAATAAAAACTTTTGTTACAAAATGATGGAAAGAAAAATGTCTCTATCTTGTTTTTACAACTAAATAATTAAGTATGAAAGAAGTGGCTTCACAGAACGGGTGTTCTGATCTGATCTGAACATCAGATCATGGTCCGATATTAGCCAACAAACCAATATTAGATCTAAAATCTCTGATATTTTCATGCTGATAGAAACTTCCGTCTAAAGTTCCTTTAAATTATAGGTTAACATTACATGGGCCAGTTGTTCTCCTAACTATTGTAACCAACTACCAGTTTTAGTCCGTGAGGCAGACACCCTGTCTACTTTTAAGGCTAGGCTTAAAACTTTCCTTTTTGATAAAGCTTCTAGTTA